TGGATCTTGTACACATGAACTACAGCACGTAGAAGCTGTATAGTGTTGGATCTTGTACACATGAACTACAGCACGTAGAAGCTGTATAGTGTTGGATCTTGTATAGATGAACTACAGCACGTAGAAGCTGTATAGTGTTGGATCTTGTACACATGAACTAAAGCACGTAGAAGTTGTATGGTGTTGGATCTTGTATAGATGAACTACAGCACGTAGAAGCTGTATAGTGTTGGATCTTGTACACATGAACTACAGCACGTAGAAGCTGTATAGTGTTGGATCTTGTACAGATGAACTACAGCACGTAGAAGCTGTATAGTGTTGGATCTTGTACATTACGCTTTCTATTGGTTATAAATTTAATGGCGTTGACCTCAGAAAAATCTATTAACAAATTGTACATTAGAGCATGTCAGAGGTAGGCGCGGAAAGTGGTTTCTGAATTTTCATTGATTGATCTTTAGCCACATAAGATTGAGGAATATAAAAACATCGATGTAGAAATTATAGAGGATATTTTACGTTGCATTCTGTAGTTTTCTTGGGGGTGGACAAAAATCCAAAAGAGGAGACGGCTCGAGAACAAATATCCAAATTCTCACACTAGGGGAACTTGAAGTTGTTTTTAAATATTTCCTTATAAACTTAAAACATATAATATTAAAATTTGATTTATAATCTATGGTTTGATGTCAAGTTTGATCGTATACCATGATAATTAAGTAGTTTGATTAAATTTTGAATGTAAATGATTAAAAGGTCGTGGCATTCGCAGTTTGACCTGCCCGCATTCTAAGGGTTAATCACGCATGCACCTACCTAACGTGCAATCAGTCATGTAGGCACATTCACGTTCTCTTCCGTCACACGGCATGGCCAGGTGGTTAGGGCTCTCGACTCGGAAAACAAATTCATGACAAACCAAACGTTCTGTTCCAGAGCTTAGGAATCATAATTTCCCCATATTTCATGCTATTGCCGATTTTCAAGATGAGAATCGCTTATCGACTGAAGTATGAATTCAAAAGTACCACATCAAACATTTATAATTATGTGAAAAGCGAAGCTGAAATACCGGAGGAGGCATTCGGTCAAAACTACGAAGATGGTAGCTGTGGTAACAGATATTATTCTCAACATGTCATATACTATTAACCAGTACGGTACAGCCTGCAAGTTTTTAAGATATTGATAAAAATACCTCCCTCCTTCCTAATGAGCTTAGCCGTACGTTTGAGGATATGCACACACTGTGAGCATAGCGCAGATAGCCCATAGCGTATATTTGCGCTTAAAAACAAATAAATAACATTTTATAAATGACGGAAAAACAGAATAAGTCTGTTAGAACGGAACTAGCCAAACAAAATAGCAAATTCCTAAGCATAATTATCAATATGCATCAAGGTAGATCTTCAGGAAGAAGCCATAAATTTGTTTCAAGATGGTCTTTCTTGGTAAACGGATTTCTTGAGCCCCAAATACCGCTACTGATCACGCTATTCTTGGGAATATTACCTCTTTCAACACGACATAGTTGATCATCAAGCAGTAAAGAAGACTAAAGAAAAGGACACAAACCCCATGTGGGGAAACCTGTTCTTAATCCTTCAGAAAAAGACAGATTCATTATTCGTTTATCGGAGGAAATGTAATAAGTTTATCGAAAGGACTAGGCTTAACGTTCTGGTTGACTTCAACTTTTCTTGTGATACATTTATGCATATAAATGAGGAATTATTATTTGCTGGCATACAAGATTAACAATATTTCATTTTATAGACAGAAGAGACAACTCATATTGTGGGCCTATTGGCAAGATAATCGAAAACAAAACATTTTTCTTTAATACTACTACAGGAAACAGCTGTTTATAAATAAACAGTTTTGAGTTATTCGTTGGTATTTTACATAACATAACCCAATTTATTTTTTGAAACGAAAATAAAAAGTCTAAACAATGTGACCTTTATATAAATATATATTGTTCCTGATTTGTTTTAAGAAATTAGTTCTTGGTTAATATCGTTTAGTATTTCTTTTTTTAAAAAGAAGTTTTATTTTAGTCTCATTATGTAGTAATTTTGAATTTAGGTTACATATAAGCTGATACTGAAGGAGTTTCTCAGTAAATGTGTTTTCATAAAAGTTAGTTTCGTTTTAGGTTTTTGTTATACTTTTTAGTGTCTTAAAATGTATTTTACCAATGAATCAACCAGAAATGACAGTTAAAGATCTATTTTACTGACAAAATTCCCAGAAATGACAGTTAAAGATCTAGTTTACTGACGAATCTACCAGAAATGACAGTTAAATATCTATTTTACTGACGAATCTTCCAGAAATGACAATTAAAGATCTAGTTTACTGACGAATCTACCAGAAATGACAGTTAAAGATCTAGTTTACTGACGAATCTACCAGAAATGACAGTCAAAGATCTAGTTTACTGACGAATCTTCCAGAAATGACAGTTAAAGATCTAGTTTACTGACGAATCTACCAGAAATGGTAGACAAAGATCTGATTTACTGATGAATCTACAAGAAATGATAGTGAAAGATCTGGTTTACCGATGAATCCACCAGAAATGATAATTAAAGATTAGGTTTATTGGTGAACGCATCAAAAACGATAACCATAAATCAGGTTTACCGAAGAGCCGACGAATTTAGGTTTCTACACGACTTATTCAAACACAGTGAAACTTGGATCAGCTCGGGTTAAGTTTTATTCAATATGTTTAAAGTGGTTCTATTATCTACTTTATTTTATGCACTTTTGTAATAGATATAAAATCAAAATTGTTCGTCACAGCAAAACCTTACAGTCACGATTAAGACGCCTTAAGAAATATGTAGTATAGTTCATGTGTACAAGATCCAACACTATACAGCTTCTACGTGCTGTAGTTCATGTGTACAAGATCCAACACTATACAGCTTCTACGTGCTGTAGTTCATGTAATGGCTGGAGACGGCATGAGTGGGTAATGAAGAAAAACTTTAATATAAGTTTAAACATAACAGCAAATGTACAACGTTTCGACAAGGTTTTGTCATCATCAGGTACTGATGATGACAAAACCTTGTTGAAACGTTGTACATTTGCTGTTATGTTTAAACTTTTTCTTCATTACCCATTCAAGCCGTCTCCAGCCATTATTATTCATTAATATTGTTATTAATTTAGTTGATAAGTCT